GATTAGTTTTAATTAATTGTAAGCGGCGCGTTCTATGGTTAAGGTTTCGTACTATTAATTGTACTACTATCCCATACTATAAGTATCGCGATATCTAGGTACGTCTAAAGTAAATATCCAAATTAGTAAATTCTATAGATTGGTTAAAGCCCACTAAGAGCGTTTATCTTCCTGATTAACACGACCAAAAAGCATTTCAAGAATCCCAGCACCTCAGGTTCAAAGTCACCTAGTAATGGCCAAATCAGTGAAGCAAATGGAGTATCTTATGCCATACCGCATACCTTTGACTTTAAATTCAATATCGAGATGACTCCAAGTTGGGCACACTTAAAGCCCTCAATGAAAGGTTTTTTACATGAGCAGCCTCCCACAAGTAGTTTTTCTAGTACAAATGGGACAATTCCCAACGAGCGACGTTTTTTACTTGATCGAAATCTGGCGTTGGACTATAACTCAAATCCAAACTCCTGGATACTAGGCCGGAAATCCGTTATATTCCGCCCTACATAGTCTACAATCTCATTCAATGCAAAAATGGTTTCAAAAAGTCATTGTGTGGATATTCAAAACGAGATACCTTTATCTGCAGACCCGCTAATGCTCAGAAATCAAACGGACGGTGAATCAGCTGACCGCACCAATGCTCAATTGGGACCTACTTTCATGTCTGTCAAGTTTCACATCAAGAGCACACCTCGAATCTTAATAATATGGTAGTGAAGGCGTCTACATCCGCTCGTGATGGTGATAATAATTTTAGACTTTTCTAAAACGCCTCCTACTTATTCCGTCCACAATTCCTCGAAGAAACCTCCGCCCGACGTGAAAAAAAACCAAGGTCAGTTTTGCGCGGCAATAGTAACGGTAAAGTTCATGCACTTAGCAAGTGGGATGATGCACTTGAGAAACAGTTTGGGCTTGTGGTTAAGCACTTGATTCATTAACTAAAGAGTATACGGGCCTGATGATGTATTCAAACTATTTTACGGGATATGATCAACAATCATTAGTTCTCGCCAATGGTCGTTGTAGTGGATTTAATTTGAATTTCGGATGAACTTAAGTCTGGTTTTTGTTGCAAGCTCTGTTTGTAGGCAAGTGGCATTCAAAGTCACTGTCTGCTGCACTAGACATAAACATCTTTGGATCCATGAAATGCGTCTATAATTATTTGAAAAGACGCCGTATTGCATTTATCTTTGCTTGAGATTTTCCTGGCGCAACCGGGTTTCACAACTTTGTGCTCGAGGTAAAATGCTGTGATTTGCATTTTGGACTTTATTGTTTGTTTTGCATTAATCGGATTGGTTCATAGTGCTTTGCAAAGCTTTTCTAACGCAAGCAGAGTGCGTCTTCACACAGATCCGTTTAGTACGTGGTCATATTGTCAATTTTGCAGGCTTGGCCACTGTTTTATTTGCTTTTGGTGTGGTTACAACGTGGAGAGCAGTTAACGTGCTATCGGCTCAGTAGGCGTGGAACGATTTGCTACACGATGCTGAGGTCAGCTACAGTGTTTGTTGCGAAGTGCACCGGAGGCCGAATGAAACCTTTGGTGCTTATAACGTCTCCTTTCGTTTTTCACGATTGTTTGCTAAAGTCTTTTTGTAACGCTGAGATTGTTACATAGAGTTCAATTTTCTGAGTTGTCTTAAGGTCTTTAATGAGGTGCTTTACCGTAGCTCATCTTCCCGTTGATCATTTTTAAATATTTCTATGCTTGGTAATGTTTCTGTTTTAAAATTGGCTCTGTCAATGCTATTTTCGTTTGCTGTTTCCTATGATGATGATGATGATGATTGTAATTGTGGAACTAACAAAGTCGCCGTTTTTGCCTTAAGATCGTCATCGTTTCAAAGATGCTGGACGCGTTTCTTCGCTCCGTTCAAGTCAATCAGCCTGCGGTTTTATCACCTTCCGCTGAACACAAGTACCTAAGTGCCTCAGGCGTTTGCCTTTTGCCACCACAGTGCATTGTAATTGATGCACCAGTTGATTGGTTTCCCTAATGTTGCGATGGTGGACGATGGTGCGGGTGAGGCCTGTACCATGGTTTTAGTTCCAAGTCAGCTGTATCCGGATTTTTTTATATGGAGTTGAATAAATTGCACACAGACGTCTTCTGTTGAGTAGGTGTGTGGTTTCCTTTTTCTAAGATGCTTCATATTCCGTTTTGCAAGGTCACTATTTCTCTAAGCCTGATTTTGAACTGTATCCTCGGGTCGTTTATTTGATTCGAAGCTCATTACAATCCACAATGAATATGCGACCGCAAATTCTGGTAGTTTTGATGAAGCATTAAATCAAATGCAATGTTTTCTAGCGTTTACTTCTTAGGTCTGAGTGGGCTCGCTGGCCGGTATCGGCAGTGACTCGGGTTTTTTAGGTAGCCAGGACGGCATTACTTGAAACAGGCTAGAACGTCGGGTTTGGCATAACACCCACCGCTGCTTTACGCCTTGCCAACAACCTTATACGGCTAGTCTGGTTGCATTGACAGGAGTTTGAGCTTAAAATTGTAAATACTTATTTCTCTGGGATGCATCGGTTGCCATGATCTGCGCAAACTGCATTTCTGGTGTAGGCTATGCCACTAAAATGCATGAACAAGGTTTTGAGAAGCAGGATGCTTTGTTCGACAGTATGTCTGATGCCTTCCAAATGTGTGCGGTCAATCGCGCACTAGTTTGTAGGTCTGTCGTCACGATTTCACGGTAACCGGAACTATTAGTACGATTGTGCGTCGCCTTGGGGCAGTTGCAAATTGCGTTGGATCCCATTCTTAGGGTGCACCCTTTAATCGACAACAGAGGTGCTATGTTTTGGCTAGGTGTAAGCTAGCTGATTGATTTTGAAGGCGTCGACACGTGTTTTAGGACCTCACCCGGATCACCAAGTTCGTCATCGCGTTTGTGCTGCACAAGTACCCAGGGAGAGACAGTCGTTTATTAGTTGGCCCAACCTAGTTGTGCTGTCGTGTGCTTGCATTCCAAGTCGCACACGACTAATGCGGTTGCCGACCGCCATTGTTTGAGTGAAATATCAAAATCACAACTGACTCCAGGTCGAGATGAGTGAAACTGGTAGTGCGGGTGGTACATGCAGAGGAGTGTATGGGCAGACGGTCCCTTATGGCCGACGGGCACACAGAGAAAAGGGAAGAAGTCCATGAATGGAATCATATTTAAACTGCCAAAGCGATTTTTGCTTTAATCCGTTTGATGATCGGGCCAACTAACTCGTCTGCCATAGCGTGTAACGGCATCTGTTTGTTTATTTTGGGAAGAGACGAAGTTGGCTGTGCTTGAGACCTGTGATTTGGCAACATTTTCGTGTCGAAAAAAAACTGACTTGAGAAGGTCAAGGGATACTGCGTTTCCTTCTTCCTTGCGTTCGATGATGATGACCTTTTTTTCTCGTCTGAGTACTCTGAAATTTTCATCGTAGGTGGGTTGCAGCATCGTGCCTAATGAAACCGTGGGCTCATGAGAACAGCGTTTCCAGGGCGTAGGATTTCAGTTTGCCATTTGCCCCTCGTAAATGATCGACGTGGTTGAGTACGCCATGACAGCTGTGATGTTGACGAGGAAATATGCCTGGGTAGTTTCAATGCTGTTTCGAAAACCATTTCAGCACAGGAACACCGAAGTCTTCCTCTACAGTTAACTTCAGCTCGATTAACTCGAGAGGTAACGGAATAGGTCATTATGAGCTGTCAAAACGGCCATCACTTGGCAGAAAAAAACTTCATGCTAGGCCATCTGAATGAGAATGGTGGACGCTCGTTCGACTTTGGTTCGTCTCCGAGAGCCTTGTGAGATACTGGAATAGCCCTGATTCTAAATGCGTTCCTCGATCTGTGGTGATGATGGAGGAGACTGCAAATATAGTAATCTATCTGGTCACAAACGTTTTGGCTACAGTTTCAGCCAAGACGTCTTGCACTGCAAATGCTTCTCGCCATCGAGTGAAACTGTCCGTGCAATTTAGAAGGTAACGGATTCCTCTTGATTTTGACAAGGGTCCCACAATACCGAACACTTGTGTCAGGAACGGTAAGCTGAATAATGGAGGTCATGTTATGATTCCATATCCCGCTAAGTCTTTTTTTGCCGTCTCAGTACCTAACGACACTCCCAACAGTGTATGGGCATAAGGGGATATGATTCAGCATAATTTACCAATATTTTGAATACGGTATCACCAAATCCTAAAGCTGCTACAAATTCTGATCTTTAATGTGACGTCCCACTTGCCGAAGTATTTTGAAGTTTGATGTACAAAGTGAAATCCTTCTCGAAAAGCGGGTCTGAAATTTCATTATACCTAGGACGCTGATGATGAAGTCTTATTGGGCCTTACTGAACACCAGCACAGCCGATGCACAACACTCTATGGAATTTGAATTAAGGAAGACACAGCAGCTTCGTAACCCTGCATGTTAATCTTTCTGTAAGTCAGCTGTTCCGTAACCTAATTATGACTAACAAGAAAAATCGAGCTACCACAATGTTGACTTGTGCAACATGCATTATTGGGATTTGAATTGGAGTTCTCGAGAGGTATACTCAAATCCGTCTTAAAATCCAGGGTTCATGTATGAATTATGTCTTGTTTGGGCATTCTGATGCTCTCCTTTGCCTTTTCGATTCACCTTACCCGGCATCATGACAATTCCTTTGACAGTCTTGGTATTTCCAATGTTAAACAGGTGCTCGTTTCGGAACACAAATGTTTGCCGTTGCCATACCATTATATCGTTTTATATTTTATTGAAATTAAGGTTACATTTTTAAAATTAACCTCACCTAAAAAATTACCCACATTTCTATGTAACGTATATTCACAATCTGTGATTTAACCTGCCAGATTTGCAACAACAAATCGATGCATGTTAGTCAATTTTGTATATTGCCCTGGGAAGTATTAAAATTTAACACATATCTGTGTATGTTTAAATTGTTATTTACAATGTCGCCGCCTCAAAAGTGGTTGGATTATTCATCGGAACAATGTAGTCGGTCGATTATATCTGATGCCTTGGCGTAAAAACCGGGGAACTTTTCGTCAAGTATATTCCTACACTTTTCTAGGTCAGCTCGTGAGTTGGAGAAAATGTGGACAAGTTGTTTGACGCCGAGCGTTGTGCTCAATCGGTGAGTGTCGGTAATCAGAAACTGACAGTCACACGCTCGTGCAATCGATTCTATTCGGCGGTCCTTCGAACTCGCGAAGATTCTCGCCACGTCCTCAACGGGCACCCACATGCAGCACTCAAACTTGACCGAGTCGAAATTCGGTTGAAGTTCCTTGGGCTCATTTATTCGACGATGTCGTTTCATGGGAACAGGCGCGTCATGCCCATCAGATGCTGCCTTCTGCTCAATCAATGTGGGGGTTTCTCCGCTAGATGCGATTGAAGAGAAAAAACCCAAGTCTGGAGAAATCGAAGCGAGATCATCCTTATTAATTTGATGGGATCCCAGACCATCAGTGAAGGATGAAACGTCAGTCTCCAATGACGTAATATCGGAAAATATTGAGGAGCCATCTGCCAAGTCATAGTTTTCCTTTATGTCGTTTGGTAAAGCCGACTGATTTGTAAAGGCTTCGTGCTGCATAATATGCTTGTCAGGCTTTCTCTTATTTAAAGTTCTGGTTGAAGTGATATTATTCGATTTCTCTTCTGAATATGCTTCTGACGTTCTAGTTTGACGAAATTTTCGTCTGTTTTTTCTAGTGGATAAAGGTAGTCCGCAGATTTTCTGATTCGACTTGGAGGATTTAGACCCCATAGGTAAATCATTCAATACATGAAGAAGAGTGAAAATTTTAGCATTACCGTATTTAAAAAAATCGATACCTGAAGTCGTTTATTATTAACTTTTGCCTAATCACATGGCTCTTCTACTAATTTAATTTTAAATAAATCAATCACTTCAAAAGAAAATGAAGCCAGTCAGTTGTATATAATTAGCATATAGCTCAGTAGCAGTAGCTCATTTTGTCACACTTCCTAATTTACGATTTCAACGTTAACAACTAACCTTAAACGTCAACTAGAAGTTTTAAGTACAGACACGTTTATTACAATTAACCGTGTGATTGTCCACTGACTTTGCAATGCTGAAATATAGTAATTATAGTAGGTTGATGTCAATGGCTGAACTAAGATTAAACACTTTTAGGAATTGCGAATTAAACGTGACCAATTTGATAAGCAACAAGCAGGATATATTGAATAATGTATTTTTACGCAAACGTCTAAACCAACGGAATGAAAAATAAAAAAAGTGTTACAGGTACAAAACAAAATTAAGCAAAGAGAAATGAAGAAAAAATCGCCACTAAAGAATTATTTTCAATAGCCTACGATTAGCAACGAAACATTGTGGATCAAAGTGATTGACATTCATGTCAAAAGTATCAGGGTAACATAAAAGCCAACCCCAAAGCGATATGCTAAGTTTTTCAATTGGTCACGGTTTCATCGACGACTAATTAAAGAACGGTACAAGTCTGACGATTAATAATAAAAATAGGTAAAACTGCTGCAATTTTTAAAAATCTTGAACTGTAAATACTCAAAAGATAGAATTTGGCACATCGCTAAAGTTAATGCTGCAAGTGTCAATACGCATGCTGCTATTTTGCACGAAACAGAGAAAAAAAATGTGTATTTTGTGTCCATCTGGAACGCTACCAGTGTTTACACCATTCAATATCGCTTTAAATCAATAGGGACAGTGAATGTTAAACGGAATTCACCGTGGTCAGTGCCACTACAAGTGGAATTGGATTTAACCCATTTGTAGGGCGTGTGGGACCGTAATTAACATTCTCATCAACTGCTATCGTCTGGTGAAAATTGCTTCCCAACTCCAAGCCCATGTTTAGCGATGGTCCTCAAATGGATGCAAAAGGACTAAAGCTTGTAATACGGCTCTTTAGCTCGACTCAGTTTTAGAGACAGGCCAACAATTCGCCCACCAAGAAACTATTCAATACCTGTGCGTCTACTGTTAGCACATTCAAATACTCCATTTTTTCTGATCATTTGCTTACGCACCATGCTAATGCTCCACTAGCTTAGCCATCCACGTATCGTCTATTTGCTTGTGTTATCTTTCCTTCAGCAACAACACGCTAGTATACACACACATTCATGTTTTATCAACATTCCCTTGATTTCACCTAGTGGTCTCATCACGTCTGTCTCAATGCGAATCAAAGGTTTTACGGATCTAAAGAAAAGCCAAGTGGCTGATAGTATGTAATCGTTTTCCACCAGCTATGCTTGTCTACGTCATGTCACATTCGTATATGCATGCATCCACAACGTGGAAGTATTGGCACTGATATTAACCAAGCTACACTTAGTCATCATGCAAATCACCAGAAGCAAGCACTGGCGAAACTGATTAGCAAGATCAGTGCATATCACAAACAGCACTCAATAATAATCTGATTAAAAGGCCGAC